TGACTGTTATTAGTGCAGACATCTACAAGTAAGCTTTCTTTGGCCAAGCTGCTCTCAGAAACTGGCCCTTGCAGGCCATACATGCTAGAAACAACTCAGTAAATGCTGAAAAAAAACAACACAGAAGAGAGGTGCAGCAGATGGGGCCATACATCAAAACTGTCAAATAATCCATTTCTCTTAGTTATTTGGAAAGCAAGTTGCTGCCAGGTTCTACCTTCACAGAAAAGAATGACTTCCTCAGGACTTACATTCATAGTGGAAATACAGACGTTTGGTTTCTTTTTGTCTCTTCCTTCATTTCCTTTTCCCGTAGCCTTTAAATCATAAAAAAATCATTTACTGAGCTAGTTTGCATATACTTGGGACTCTGAGGAATATGTAAGTTTAGATTCCTGTCCTCAAAATGTCTAAAATATAGTTGAGAAACCTAGGCATAAAAAATAAATTGTAATGACAATTCAGGAGGTTCAATGTCAAAATAAGGGCAGACGATAGCAAGGACATAAAGAATAACTAAGTACTACTTACTTCCATGACTGTCTCTAAACTGACTAGTACTCCAGTGTAAACTAATACTGAATAGTTGGGGTGATAGTTTCATCATTAAGTCTGACGTTTTCTGCAAGTGTTTAGTATTTATCTTTTATTAGCTTTAGGAAGTTTCTCTCTATTCTTACTTTTCTCAGAGGTTTCTTTTTAAAAATAATTATGAATTGAGTTAAATTTGATCAAATATCTATTTTTAAAATCTACTGGAGATTTTTTTTCTTATACCCTTTAATGGACTTAATTATAGAATAGATTTTATGGTATTTAACCATTCGTGCAGTGCCAGGAAAAGCCCAGTAGGTCACTATTATTTTTTTCAACATGAAGTGTGACAGATTGCATATCTGAAAATGGTTTCAGTAAGATTTCCCAATTTACCTTCTCTTCCAACCATGTGACTTGCTTCTTCCATTGACAGGTTGGGTGTTCCCTCTCCAGAAATCAAAATGTGTCAAGGCTCTGGTGAAAGTGACATGATGGGACTTCTAAGGCTAGGTCATAAAAGGCAGTACAGCTTCTTCCTGTTTCTCCTGGGCTATGTGCTACTGGAACCCAGCCACGATGAGGTGAGAAACCCCCAAAAGGTTCAGGGAGACTGACATGAAGGGGAACTCTGGTCTCTAGCCTATACTCCTGCTGAGCTCCCAGCCTGCATCTACTATCAACATGGCAGCCAAGTGAGTCAGCCACCTTGATCCTTCAGCCCCAGGGAAGCCACCCTCACTGATGAGACAAGGAGCAGAGGCAAGCTGTGAATGCCATGCACAGCCCACATTGCAGATTTGAGAGCAAATGAGAGGATGGTAGTTGTTCTAAGCCACTAAGTTTTGGGGAGGTTTGCTATGTAACAATCGCTAGCTGACACACGATAATTGATTCAATTTGCTTATGTTTCATTTAGGATTTTTGCACCCACTTGCAGAAGTAAGATTGGACTATATTTTCTTTTCTTCTTTTTTTCACTGTCTTGTTGTTTGCTTTTCATATCAAAGTTATATAAGCCTTTAAAAATGAGCTGGGATGTGTTTCTTTTTTCTTAGTCTCTGAAAGAGGCTGGGTAAGTTCGAAATTATTTGTTCTTTAATGTTTGATCAAAAAGAGACAATCTAATGTAAAAAGCTGTCAGGGCTTGATGCCTTTCATTTCTTTAAAAGAGATTTTTGTCTCCTTCCCAGTTTATTGAAAGGTTAGGGTCTATTCTGATTTCCTAATATTTTCTAAATTAGTTTTTGGTAGTTTCTTAGAAACTTGTCCACATCTTCCAAGCTTTTATAATATGAACATCAAGTTTAACTGTAAATGAATTATGTTATCACATTCATTTATAACGTTGTTTATTCTCTCTCTCTCATGAAACTTGCCAAAAGTACATATATTTGTGTTTTTTTTTTTTTCAAATTTTCTTTACTGTTCATCTTTCTAGCTTTTCTTTTCTGTTCATCTTTCTAGCTTCTAATGAGAGTAGAAAAAAAAAAAACTAGTGAAAAAATTTTACTTTCTTTACTCATTTCTATATGATTGTTAAGCTTTTGATTCCTCTCTTGCTCCTTTATTTTATTTTATTTTTTTGAGTTGCAAACCTAGGTTATTTTCCCTCAAAGTATCACTTTAAAAGCAAAGCCAAAATTTGACAGGAAGTGCTTGTCATTCAGTCCCAAATATTTTACAACTTCCTCTTTAACTAGGATGACCATATAATGTATCAATCAAAATGAGACACTTTTGATAGTGAGTAAAAGGGAATGCTATTAATAATTACACCAGATAAAAGGCATAAATAGGGTCTTGCCCTTACAAGTTCAGAGGTATGTACACCCATAAATGATTTCAAAGAGTGTTTTGGTTTTCAAGTGTGTGTCTGAAAAGCAACCAGCTTCATTGATTTCTACTGTAGTTATATTGAGGTCTGAAAACCTGGTCTACATGATAGAATTTAGAACTTGCTGAAACTAACTTTGAGGGCTAGCAAATGGTCAAATTTTATAAATATTCCATATGTGACTGAAAGCAATCTGTTTTCAGGTTTCACTGTTTCTCACAGATCACATTTACTAATTATATTATTCAAGTTTTCCATATTCTTTATATATTTTTAGTCCACTCGATTTATTATTTTCTGATAGAGGTAGTCCAAATTTCATGTTATGATTATGTATTTTGAATGTATCATCATAATTTGTCAAATTATATGTTTGGTGTTATAAAGACTATATTGTTAATTGCTTATAGTTTGATATTAGTATATTATCTTGGTGAATTTTTCTCTTTATCATAAAAAATATTTTTTTTACATTTCCATTTACTTTTAATATTATATGTTTTAATAATTTTCTTTTGGTTGCCTGGCATATCTTATTCTATTTTACCCCTTTATTTTTAACCTTTCTGAATGTTTGTTTTAGGTGTGCCTTTGAAAAATCACATAGCTAGATTGAAACAGCAATAAGACAAAATATTTCCAATCTGAGAGAGCCTCTCTTATAAACAAGTAATCAACTCTGTTTACATTCATCATGATTACCGACATATTTGTCCTCAATTTTTCCGTCTTATTTTTTGCTTTTCTGTTTCCCTGCTTGTTCTTTGCTTCACTTATTTCCTCTTTTTCTTACCTTCTATCAAATTGATTTTTTCCCTTAGCCCTCTCTACTAGCTTGGAAATTATATATTCTAGTCAAGATATAACCTTAATTTAAAAAATATATACATTTAATAAAACCTAAGTCACATTAATATCTATCTCTTTTTTCCTTATGAAATTGAGAAACTGTTAATTTCATATTCTGACTTTGCCTCAAACCTTTTTTTCCCTTATGTCAAATATTTTATTTCCACCTTGTTTTAAAATTCCCCTGAAGTTAATTGTCATTAAATTGGGACATTTCTTTGTATTCAGAGCAGAAACAGAGACTTCCTATGTCAATTCCGTCTACCGAATGGATTGAGTCCCTAATTCAGTAAGTTTGACAAATAACTTATCTTCTCTGGGTTCCCATTTCTGGTAACAGCTGGGAGAAGCTTTGCCAGCTTATTTAGAAAAGGAGCTCCCTCATTTTGCCTAAGATTCTAGGAACTGGAAAGTACAGAGGATGAATATTATGATATTCAGTAAAAGTGAAATCCCTCTGGCTTGAGGAATTCAAATGGGTTATCGTTGGAGCAAATATTGGTTAGTCCTAGAAGAATGAGCAGAAAAGTTTCTTACGTGCAAGAGCCATGTGATCAAAATGGAAATTCAGTTTACTAAAAGCTTAGTGAAAGTAGGACAGGTTATTCTTCATTGATAGGGAAATCCCACAGGGTGCTGCTGTTTTATTAGAGTTGGTACTGGAAGTAAGTGCCTCACCTAGGAAGATGGAAGGAATTAGGGAAGAAAGAGCTGAGTGGGAGGCCATCTCCCTCTTGGGAAAAGCAAGAGTTAGAAGAGGTGGTAGCCAATTGTATACAAGAGAAAATGGAAGCTGACTTCAAGGACTCCAACTGAGGAGCAGGTAAACTGCCTTTATTGAGTCCATGAAAACTTCAGAATTTTCATCCAGGTGGGTGTTTATGAAGATGCTGCATTCTATGGAGCATAGAGGGGACCAAGACCTCTGGTGGGACTGGCAGCAGTTAGAACTAGAAGGCCTCAATTGTGACATTAGGCTTTAAGTCAAGGTGAGTTGTCTTAGCTGCTTATTTATTCATTTTGGGATGGCAAATCACTACTGGGAAAGTCACGGGTCTGAAGACCAGCTTCAGCAGCCTTGCAGACCTGCTGGATCCTGCACAGTGTCATAGGGTATGTGAATGAGAACCTGAGCAAGTCCTTTTCTTCAAAGTCTTAGCACCTGTACATAAAGAAATGCAGGAAGGGGTGATCTCCAAGATCCTAAAGATGGCTTAAGTGTGTGTGAGGGGTGTTCAGGTGCCTTTTCTGCTTTCTTCATTATACTTTTTTCAGTATTGTTTTACTTATTTACAATTGAGTACTTGTAATTTGTACATCCAGGAAAAAAGTGATTTTAATTGTGGGTACAAGCTACTCTCTCCAAGCCCTGGTGGCTATGCTTCACTCTTTTCCTGGTGTTACCTCCTCTAACTTCAGGCAGCTGTCAGGTCTAACTTTCCTGATTTTATGCACGTGAACAGAGGCTCATGGACAAGAGTACTTGTTCGGGGCCAGTGGAGGCAGAGAGGGTCTTGTGGGTCCTTACCCCCGGCACTTTGTGGCCCTTACAGCAAGCTGGGGAGTCCTGACGACTGATAGATTGTCCGCTCACAGGAGCCACTTAGGGCTGCTGGGCGGGGCCGAGCTAAAGCCTGCCCCGCCCCGCGCCCAGACCCCACCCCCGAGGCGCTCCAGGGCCTGGAATTCGCTCCGAGGGCCCGCCCCGCCCACTATCCAGCCCTCTCTCCCCGCCCCCAGAGGAAACGGAAGTAGTGACGGGTCCGGGCGGAAGCAGGAAGCGGCGGAGAAGGGCCACGCCCGCGGCGGTGCTGATCGGGGCAATGGCTGAGAAGTTCGACCACCTGGAGGAGCACCTGGAGAAGTTTGTGGAGAACATCCGGCAGCTCGGCATCATCGTCAGTGACTTCCAGCCCAGCAGCCAGGCCGGGCTCAACCAGAAGCTGTAAGTGGCGGGCCTCTTCCGCCGTCGTTTCCCGGGGCCGGCCGGGCGGCGTCCGCTGGAGAGCGGGGATGGGGCTGGGAACCGGGGCCAGAGATTCGGGTCGGCGGAGAGTCACGTCCTCTCGCCCGCTCTCCTCGGGCCTGGTCCGTCCGGGCTCCTGCCTCCAGGCCGTGCGCCGAGGGCGGACCGCCCGCTCCTTCCCGCTTTGGCTCGCTGGGACCGCTTCTCGAGGGCGCGCTGGGAGAGGGTGTCGTGCCAGACAAAACAGTTTCTGTTCTGCGGCCACATCCGAGGGAGTCGTGCTTCATTATCTGAGCCGCTCGCTGCGCGCTTGTGACTCCCTCCCAGCGTTCCTTCCCGCACTCTGCGGAATGTGGAGCTGTCTGTCCCGGACGTGGGCTGCGACACCACCTGCTGTGTAGGCCGGAACGTGGAGGAATTGGGGAGGGCGGTGACAAAGGCCGAAGACCTTTATCAGCCAACATTTTTTTTTGTTTGGCCAGCGGCGTTGTGGTAGGCTCTGGGTGGACAAAGAGAAACCTACAAATTAAATGCTCTGGAGAAGGGCTCATCGCTTTATAGGGAGCCTAGGCATACAAACATAAAATTGCAACCCCGAGTTACATTCCCAGTAACGTGGGAATGGCTACCCCGGTGATTTAGGACCAGGTGCCATGGCCGGTGTGGCTCAGTGGTTAGAGTGTTAGCCCACACACTGAAGGGTCTTGGGCTCGATTCCTCATCAAGGGCATGTTGGATCCCTCACCCTGGTTGGGACCCATGCAGGAGGCAACAAATCGTTGTGTCTCTGTCACATTGATGTTTCTCCCGCTCGCCCTCCCTTTCACTCTAAAAATCCATGGAGAAACATATCCTTGAGTGGGGATTAACCCCAAAAAAAAAAAAAATTTCAACCAGGCAGTGATGGCTTTCTTTCCCCCAGACTTTGAGGATAGTTCTTAAGCTGGAGTCTACTACCCCATGTGTTCTCTGCAGCCCACATACAAAATCACGGGCATATCGGCGTTTTTAAGAGAAGGTTCATATTTTTCATCAGATTCTCAAGGGGGTCGGTGTTGCCCCCCAGTACTGGCAATTTCTGGTTTAGAAAGAAAATCAACCAAGATCTGAGGGTATTTTGTAATTCTAAACTCTTCCCTGGAATTCTGTAGGCAACCAAAAAGTTATGAGCTATGTGTAACCTCTGCATGTGGAAGGGGCACTTTTGTGGAGCCCTAGTTGGCCAGGTCTGTGGTGCTCATGGTGTCATGGAGAGTTAATCACATGTGCTCATTTTTGCCTTTTCCCTCAGGAATTTTATCGTGACTGGCTTACAGGATATTGATAAATGCAGACAGCAACTTCATGATATTACTGTACCTTTAGAAGTTTTTGAGTAAGTACCATTTGTGATGCTCATTTGAGTATAATTCTTGTTTAGTTGTGGTATCATGCTTGCTTCAGTCATGGGTGTTTTAGTGGCTGCTATGTGGTAGGCACAGCCTAGGTGCTTGGGGATATGCCAGTGAAGAAAAGAGACAGAAACACCTGTGCTCATGGAGTTTTATGTTCTGATGGGGTTAACCATTTTAAAATATCTTAATATTGTATTAAAAAAAAGTTACTTGTGAATAGAGGCATATTAAATATGAAATATGAAAAATATTATAGACCCTTAAAGTTTTCTTTAGACAGTAGAACAGCCACATAACTTCCCTTTTAACTTAAAAAAGAGAAAAACGAGGTAGTTTTAAGTGGGTTATATTTTAAGTAAAAAAAACTTTACAGCCTGGAAAGTAATCTGGTGTGGTATCTCCCATACTGCCCTGGGACTGCTAGTTCTGGGAGGTGGTTATATACACTGTGTTGAAAAAACAGGCCCTCAGGCCAGGTGAGTTTGGGAAAGCTGTTCGTCGTTTTCTACAGGAGGTTATGTGTGTCCACCATAGTCATGGCCCAGAGAATGCTTCCAGGAAATAAACTTCTTACATTTTTTTAAATCCAGGTTTTATCACACTGGTTTGGTTGTCATACCCCTGATTTCACAGGTGAAAGAACTGATAAGTAACTGCAGTGTCAGAATTAAAGACTAAAATTCCAGACTTATCTTTCCTCAGCCAGGGCTGTTTTCTCTGTGACAAGCAGCCTCTCCCTCTTGGAGCTGCTTCGATCTGCAGGAGCATGCTAGTACTTTTTGCAGTAAAACCACAAATGTACACCACTGATTTCCTTGAACAATAAAGGAAAAGCTATTGTTTTACATCCCCCAAAATTAGAGATACAAGTCCAAGTAACAGGACAGCTCAGCAGCTGTCCACAAAGATAGGGCACTCAGGCTGCAGTGTTTACGGGCTCGGCTCCATCCTCACCTGTTGGCCATGGTGTCATGTTTTCTCTATGTGTTCTCAGTCAGCCCCGCTGAGTTTTCTGGCTTCAGATGGGAGTGAAGGTCATATACAGGTGTTAGAGCTCTGGACTCCTGGGTGATGATGCTGGCTTGTGAATGTGGGAACATGGAGGTCTACTCTGCCTTCCTCATGAATGTGCAGGATAGGTATATCGACAGATGCCAGTAACTGCCTGAGTCTTTGAAGTGGGTGAATGAGAGTAAGATGATGGCAGAGATAGCTGAAGAACAGTGGGAGTGGGGTCTTGGCCAGCTCAGCCATGGCAGGTGGGCAGAAGGGACAGTGGAGACTCACCTGGGATATTGGGAATAAGATGGCTCTGGGCTCTAATAAGCAGTGATGCAAACTGTTAGTCATATTTGCACTAGGTGGAAGGGGTTTCCAGGCCCCCAGTGGCCTTTGCAGCACAAACTTACGGACACACTGACTGTGTCTGTAACAGATAAAGATGTCTGCCTGGGCCCTTCGGTCCAGCACTTCTTAACCTCACAGATTGTTGTGAGGACTATAAGGTAATGGCCATGAAGCCTTTGGGAGGCATGCATGCTGCAGATGTGAAGTGGGGTGGTTGTGGAGCTTGCCAGGTTTGTAAGTAATCATTACTTGATTTTACGAGTTGTTCATGTTAATACGAGTAATGTGAGAGTACATCATCTACCCTTGTATAAATGAAGGAATGCTAATGTACCTGGTTCCTGGACACAGTTTCTTCTGAACAGGGCTATGTGAAGTTATATATAGCTAGCTTTTTTTTTTTTCCCATAAGAAAACTGAGAATAGATATCAGCCAAGACAGTGTTAATTAGATGTTTCCTTTTTTCAGATATATAGATCAAGGTCGAAACCCGCAACTCTATACCAAAGAGTGCCTGGAAAGGGCTCTAGCAAAAAATGAACAAGTTAAAGGGAAGATAGACACAATGAAGGTAAGGCGCTATATACTGAAATGATGTCAGAACATAAAGCCGCCTGGCCGGTGTGGCTCAGTGATTGAGCTTTGACATGCACCAAGAGATTGTGGATTCAATTCCCAGTCAGGGCACATGCCCCGGTTGCAGGCTCAATCCCCAGTGCAGGGCGTGCAGGAGGCAGCTGATCATATTTCTCTCTCATCGATGTTTCTATCTCTCCCTCTTCCTCTCTAAAAAAAATATTAAAAAAAAAAAAAGCCATGCATAGCAAATTTGACTAGTAGACTTTGTCATTCTTTTCCATGGTGTTTGGTAAAACATCAGCTATTTTATGATATTATACAATTGAGATTTCTGAATTGTGTATCAGGTAGTAAACAAAGTTAAATAAATATCAGTGATGCCTTCTGTTGGGCCTTTTCCTGTAACTGTGGTTCTTTGGTTTGGTTGAGTATTGAATCTTTATTCTGTTTTCCTTCGCTGGTGGTGGTCTCCAGCTTCTGACTCCAGACTCATTTATACCATATCTCCTGTCACACAGTTCTCCCCAGAGAACTTCTCTGTTTCTTTGCTGTGATGAGATCTAGAAAACTATGCATCTATAACATGAAATATGTTGTTTTTTCTTAAATTTATTCATACCTGGTTCTGATTGGAGCATGTGTGATTTGCTTTTTCCTCTAATTGGCTGGAGCCATCCCTTTTCCAGTCTCTTTTGGCCTCAAACAACGAGCCCTCCTGCCTCTCCACCCCCATTCCTGATTCTGGCCTAGCCATGCTGGTCTTGCTTCTGTTTCTGGAATTCACCAAACCCTCTCCTTTCTGTTTGTTCTTGTGTGGCCTTTTTTGTCTGGAGCTCCTGTGTACTTTGCACACTGACTATTCTTTGAGGTCATTGTATGTCATCTGTTCAGAGAGGCCTTGAGGGAAAGCTTTTCCAAAGTCTCTTTCCTGAGAGCACCATGGAGGAGTCCTCCTTTTCTTTTTCTCTGCTCTGTCTCCAGGATCTTGGGGCATGAGTGTTCCATTCCTGCTGATACCCAGCACCTACAGGTGTGCTCAGTTGGTGTCCGATGTGACCTCTTAGGGTCAGACGGTGCAAGGAGCGAGCAGAGAGACTCTCAGGATGACAGTGACCTGCATCACATGTTGTGAGGTTGCAGAGCTTCCCAGTATACCCCAGGTGATGTGTACTGATGATAGGCAGCGTGCCCTGGAAGTGGCTTTGCTATAACTGTTAGTGTGGCTTCATTTCTATTTTGTTGTTTTGGGACCGAGTTGCTTTTGAACTCGGCATCATCCTTGGGACATAATACAGCTTTAATCAGTAGTAAGCTGTGACTATTTGGACTATTTTGTGATTGAGTTGCATTGTCCAGCAGAACTGTATAAACAGAGTTGTGGTCCATGCATATTCTTCTCAGGCCTGCCATGTTTCTGTGTGACTCCAGTGCCTGTGGGTGATGTAGAGGTTCCCAGTTGGTGGTATTGCATGGGGACTGTGTGGTTTATCTTCAGTTGCCTCTATTGTTGCTTGGTGTCATTCTCTCCGAGACCTGTGAAAGTCACTGTGCAGTTCTGTGGCCTTCTTGTGCCCAGTGGGGGTGTATTGTAGTGTTGAGTGCAGTCTCTTAGAGAATGTATTCTTAACTATGCAAGGATTATATCTTTGTTTATATCCACAGAGATACTTCTTAATGTAGCTTACAAGAGAAGGTTTTGAAATGCTGATAGGTACTTAGCTGCTTTTAAGAGTGGTGTACACCGAATGTTACACTGATAAGTAGGGTCAGGAAGCCATGGCATTTGGTGTAGACAGGTTTCCAGGTGCTTTGAAAGCATTGATTGAATTGTTTGCACACAGAAAGTGTGATGTGGTTTGAGTTAGTCATTACTTAATTAAATATTCTTTGAAGATTCCTGTTATGTGTGTTGTGTGCAAAAATCATTTTCATCTTGTGGCTGGCTCACTTTGAAGCAGGAGGGAAGAAGTTGTATTTGAACGTGAATTCCTCTTTCAGGTCCTTCTTAATGTATCTGTAACTTAGCTGCAAGTGTTGTTTGCAGCTGGTTCGCCAAGTGTTGCATCCTGGGGGAAGAGCAGGCAGCTCTGGAACATGGGTGTGCATGAGGGCAAAGCAGATTCCTTCCTTTTGGAGGGCTCTGTGGGGGTAGTCTGTAACTTGGGTGATGGGTCACAAACAGAGTTATTTTGACAGTGTACATTTTTCTTCTTAGAAATTTAAAAGCCTGTTGATTCAAGAACTTTCTAAAGTATTTCCAGAAGACATGGCTAAATACCGAAGCATCCGAGGGGAGGACCACCCCCCGTCCTAATTTCATCCTCCCTCTGTGTGAACATCCTCCTAGTCTTGTATGAATTGCCGTGACCTTCAGGCAGCCTGTGGACTAGTGGCCTCCGAGACAGCGGGGCCTAGAGGGCTTTACAGAGCTGTGCTGCCAGGGGCCCTGTGCTTGCAGGGGCTGGTGAGTGCACGTCTTTGAGCGCAATGCATTTTATCCTACTGCAGAATTGTCTTGGAAATATTAAATATGATAGGTAAAGTACAAGGTTTTAGACATTTTACCTAATACTTTTCTTTTCCATTTTATTATGATGTCAAAGAAAGCTAAAAAAAAACTTAAAAATTAAAAAAGATTGGTTTAATATGAGAAGTACTTGAATTGGTTTGTATTTTATATTTTTAAGTATAGTCCATAAAGAATGTGTTCAATGTAACTGTTTATGTGGATTTCAATTAGACCTAAGCATATAATAAAGTCTTTCAGTACTTACGTGACTTATTCCATGTAATTATTTTGTAACAGTTTTACAGTATAGTACAGTGTATCTTGTAAATGGTCATTTATTACTTCCTCAAAGTGTAATGTTTATAAAATGTGTTCCCCAGGCATTTAGACAGAAAAGGCTAAAGCTAAAGCAAAACGCAGACTTCGAATTTTTCCACAGCCTGCTTCATAGAGAGCATAACAAACACTGAAGAAGGCAGATTTAGAGACATTATTGAAGAACACCCTGCAGTCTGACTCGGTGGGTCCCCATGGCCTTGGGAGCCTGTCTGTCCTGTAAACTCATCATGCTGTTGCATCTGTGGGCCCCACCGTGCACTGAGTTGCAGCCCAGGTGCATCGGTTCTAAGGGGTGACTGGGCCACCTGCATCAGAATGACCTGGACTGTTCATTAGAAAGGTGCGCCCGGTTCAGGCCTGAGTTAGAGGCCTTATCTGGGGCCTAGGAACTGTTACTGTTGATTTGCTTCCCGAACTGAGGGATGCTGGGCCTGCTTGGATCCCAGAACACTGTAAGGACTTTGATGTCATCAGTGCACAGCATTGTCAGTGGTCTGTCATGTGAGACTACGGGAATGGTGTAGTTAAAGCGAGGGTCAGAGCCCAACTTTCGCGTTCTCACTGGCGTCTTCTGGAACGGGGCCTTGAGCTTGGCCTCTGTTCACCAAAGCGGTCTCACTTGCTGAGTCAGGTCAACTCCTTAGGAAGTAGCTACTTGGTTAGTAGTTCAGTTCTCTCCAAAATGACACCAGAAAAGGTCTCTCCACTGGAGACATGGTTTCTTCTAAGATGAGGAGACTCCTTCATCCAGTAGGCCCTGAAGCTGGGCTTTGGGGGCCTGGCTGAGTCCTTCCCAGACACTGTTCCCATGCGTCAACTCAGTTGGTCCTCACCATACCCCTGAGCTGTGGGAACTGTTACCTTTATGTTATAAAGCCAGAAATGGACACAGAGGCTAAATCATGTGCCCACTCACACAGCTGACATGTGGCAGAGCTGCATGTTCAGTGCTGGCCCACCTCGTCCAGGGTTCATGTTCTGAACCACAGAACCTAGTAGAAGGCATCATTCTGCAGTTGCAGCAGCAGCCCAGTTACTCCAGACCATCAATCACCCTCACACGTAAAACATTGTGCCATGACTCTAGGTTTTGGTCTCCTCCTTTCCATCCTTCTTAGAAGGTACATTTTCATTCCTTCTGCATGGTACCTGGTGGGTCCAAGGGTGTCCCTCATTCCTCTCTGGGTTCTGCTACATAGAGGGTGTAGCTGGAAAAGGGCAATGGTTGGTTCTGCATATGCTGGGCCTGGGAATCTCAGGTGGCCTTAGGCCATTCCAGACGTCTGGTCTTGGGGAGAGCAGGTTGCCATCAATTAGTGGAGATGCTTATCTGTGGCCATTGATAATACAAAGCCCGATGGCATTGTGGGTGTGCTGACCTTGGCCCAGCAGGGCAGTAGCTATAATGTGTCACTCTGGAATGATGACCAGTCCCCTTTTCACTCCAGGGTTGGGTATATGGGAGCACTGCCCTGCAACTCAAACAATTCTTTTGTATTGACACCACTACGAATAAGAATTGCAGATCATGATGCTGTGACATTGTGCCATGCTTTCCCTAAGTTTATGGGTTGGCCTCCATTTTGCACTCTGCTTGGCTGGCATCAGTATTTATTGCGAGTGCCAGTCACTTGCAAGTCTTCCTTAGGTTCAGGGCCGACTTGGTGTTACTTATGTGAGTTCAAAGGAGCATTCAAGGGTTTGTAGGCCACCTTCTTGCAGATTTGTGATGTTGATTATAACCACCACCATCTCTCAGACTTCTCCACCAGAAGGTCCAGGACCACACTTCAGGGTGTGGGCTTGATCCTCAATAGGGGGCATGCAGGAGGCAGACGATCAATGTCGATAGATAGATAGATAGATAGATAGATAGATAGATAGATAGATAGATAGATAGATACAGATATGGATATAGATATATATAGTTTGCTCAACAAGCATTAATTAAGGGTCTGCCTACCGTGAACTAAGCTATATGCAAATCGGAGTGTTTCTCCAAGGTGATCTGCCGATTTGCTGTGGAACCACTGGGGAGTTTATTAAAAATGCTGATTCTAGGTCTCACTCCTCTAGGGCTGCTGCGTTAGAGTCCTCTCCTCCCTTGACTTCTAAACAACACACTCCACCTGCACATTCAGTGTTGGGTTCCTCAGGTGTTCTCTTTCGTTGTACATCTGCTCCCTGGGCAAGCTCATCCATCTCATGGCTCCAGTTACAATCCTGTGCCAGATTCCCAGGTTTGTATACATCCCTGCTAAGTGAGTCCTACACATCCTTAATCTACCTTTCTGTTCCTCTCCACTTGGCTATCTCCCAGGTGCCTCCAACTCAGTGTCCCTAAAGTTGGACTCAGCGTCTTTCCCACCTAAATATCTCCCCGGTGTCTCTGCCTTAGAAAGTGGCACCACCTTCTATCCAGGTCCATCATTCTTGCCTTCTTTTTCTCCCTCACCACTTCTGCCTTTGTGTGGAAGCGTCTCTAAGCCTCCAAAACACCTCATTTCTTTGCTGTTTTTACTTTAGCCATGTTAGTATTTGGTTCTTCCAACACTGTGAGTCCCTTCCTTCATGCTTCACCTCTCTACCTGGCTACTTTACTTATCTTGCAGGTTGCAGTATAAAGTCACCTGCATTAGCTCACCTTCTCTGAGACCTTGGAGCAGAGCTGGTCTATTTGTTAATTTTCCCTTTCACCTTCAGTATCAAAGCACTGAGCGTTACAGGGGAAACTTGTTACCTTCAAGATTGTAATCTCCCTAAGAGCCTGGGTCATGCCAGCCTTACTCATTCCTTCAGTCTAGAACTTACTATGTGCCTGACACACAGTGGTGCTTGTTAGTCACTGAACAATTAGTGAGCAATCAAATTATGTGACACAAGCAAGTTTAGGTATTTGAGGAATCGTGCACGGATCTGCAGTGTCCAAGTGAGATGGCACAAAGCAATTGTGTGACAGAGCGGAAATGAAATGTCACAATTGCACTGGACCCTGGAGAGGAGTGTTCTATCCCCACAGGAGGAAAGTTCTGGGTGCTTCCCAGACCCTACATACACACTGACGTTAACAGGGGGCAGAACTCATGAGATGAAGAAAATGGCCAGACTCCATCAAAAGCAGTTCTGACCGGCTGGCGGAGGGCTCTGTAGCTGAAACTGTGAATGGAGATGGCTGTGAAATGATCCACCCAGACCACCCAGCATGTTTCTGCACAGAAAAAGAAGACCTGGTTTAAAATGGCGCCACATTCTCATTTACTCCCTTCATCCTGGCCCATTTGGGATCTGTTGAGGGCAGGCCGTTTGCAGTGACTTCTGGTCCATTAAGTTTGCCTTTGCCCAGCTGAGCTGTTGTCCCTGGATCATCGATGGTGGGGCTTTCTCATGTTTGCCTCTTTCCTTTCCAGGGTCCTCACACAGCCTGTGGCCAAGCTTCAGCTGTTGACAAAAGGGTCCAGAAATGTGATAACTATTCCTATTATTATAGAAAGAAGGTTGCTTGCCCTTACAGGGATAACCATATGTTTATTTTATTTGGCTCTAAAATGACTCTGTATCCAATTTGTTGTAGTTTCTAAGAACCCATTGTAATGTCATCTTGGTCCAGGGCTGTATTAACTTTATTACATGGCATTCATTATCATTGAAATATTGCACCCCAAGTTTAGATTTCATTGGTTTTTTTAACATAAAAACTTTAATGCATGCACTTACATTTCTTAGATAAAAAGGAAAAGTCAAATAGTTTTGTATTAAGGTAAAGGTGAAATCATTGTAACAACAAGACCCAAAATAAAGATAAGATGGAAGATTGTTTCTCTTACCCAAAGCCTGACCAGTCTAGGTCAGCAGGGTGGTTATACTCAACAAGGCCATTGGTTTCTCTTCTGGGAGCTGCCCCACAGAGAGGCCTGCATGGCAAGAGACAGGTGCCTCTGGCCAGAAGCCAGTGGACCTGAGTCCCACCACAGTCATATCCACCAGCTTAGAAGCAGACCCTTCCCCATGCGGCCTTGGATGACTACCCTGGCTGATGCTTTGACTACAACCTGTGAGGGACCCTGGGCCAGATGCACCCAGCTAAGCCCTGCCTGAGTCCTGATCCACAGAATCTTTCAGACAATAAGTGTTTGTTGTTTTAAGTCTCTAATTTTAGGGATAATTTGTTACCTAGCAATGGCTAACTAATATACTATTTAATGAGAGATAGATGTATAGGAAAGAAAGAAAGAAGGAAAGGGGGAAAAAAGAGGCCATTTTTTATTATCCCTTTTTGCATAACACCCAATCCCTCCCTTATCCCCCTCCCCCAAAAGAAAAAAATATCACCTTGGTGGCCAAAAAGAACAACCATTATTTATTTGCTCATGACTCTTTGATTTGGACAGGGCTCAGTGGGGACAGCTTGTGCTCCACAGGACACTCAACTCAGGCTGGCAGGTTCACTGCCAAGGTAGCCCACTCACACGGCTGGCAAGGTGGTGCTAGCTGGGGCTGGGAGCTGGGCTGTTGGCCGGATCGTCTGTTCTCTTTCTCATGCCCTTTCTTAATAGTAAGGTTGGGCTTCTCATCACCTGGTTGCTGGGTTCTGAGACGGAGAGTTTCAAGAGTGAATGATCTTAAAGGACACACCCCATTGTACAAGCTCCTGCTTGGTTTTGCTTGCTGATGTCCCACTGGCCAAAGCTAGTTCCTTGACCAAGCCCTGAGTCAAAGGCATAAGTTCTGGGAGGTGTGGTTCATTGTGGGGTTGTCAAAGCAACCATCTGTAGCAGAGGCATATGTTTATATAAAATACCCATGGTTCTTTTTATTATATAAGATTTACATGGTAGTATTATTTGCAATTAGATTATTCATCCATATTAAAAAGTTTTTTTAAAAAAAAATCCAGCCTCATGACTTCATTCTTAAAGTTATAGCAGCAATTAGCTAAGTGTAAAACTCTTGAGTGGTGTTTTCATAATCAATTTATTTCTCCAATTTTACTCTCATTATAATGTTACCCACTTCTGATTTCCTTTATGACAACTCGACAGGATTATCTCTTACACCCTTGACCCATCATATCCGACTGTAGTAGGCAGAATAGTGGCCTCTCAAGACATCCTCATCCTAATCCCTAGAGTCTGACTGTTACATTAAATGGCATAGGAGAAGGACTTTGTACATGTGATTAAGATAAGGATCCTGAGATGAGAGATTACCCTGGATGATCCAGGTGGAACCAATGTCATTACAATGGTCCTTACAAGAGGAGGCAGCATGAAGGACGTATGATGATGGGAGCAGAAGTGGAAGAGGGAAGGGAGATCGCTCTGCTCTGGAGAAAGGGCCATGAGCCATGAGTGAAGGTGTTTTCTAGAAGCTGAAAAGGAGGAAACAGATCTTTCTTTAGAGACTCTAAAAGCAAAGCAGCCCTACAGACACCTTGATTTTAGGACTTATGACCTCCAGAACTATAAGATAATATATTTGTGTTGTTTAAGTGTGTGGTAATTTGTTATAGCAGCAACAGGAAACTAATACTCCAACTGAGCAAGCTGATGAGATGAGGTAAAGAATAGGGAGAGAAGTCGCAATCTGTTGACTGACCTTTGAAGATGCAATGGTGGTATTTACTAGTTATAGTTGCAGTTTAATTGTCATAGTCTTATTTAACCCAAGGTTCTCAGAATACTTCATACATATGAAGTCATCATCTTGGAAAACATTTTGCAGAGGAGATACTAAAATTATAGCAGACATGTCCAAGACCTAATTTCTATTCTGACATCTGTGAGAATTTTCATTGCTCTCTCCTCAGAGGTCAAGGAGAGCTGGGGGTTCATCTGGGATGGGACATTAGCATGACCATAAGGAGCTCTTTAAGTATGAGGAGACAGCTATGACTAAATACAGTCTCCAGAATTCCTTCCTGCTGCCTGGATGAGTTTCCCGAGGCTGCCATAACAAAGTGCCACAAACTGGGTGTCTTGAAACAGTAGGCATTATTTTAAGGTTCTGGAGATCAGAGGAGTGAAATCAAGGTGTTGGTAGGCCATACTCCCTCTGCAGACTCTAGGGGAGGATCCTTGCTTCTTCCAGTTTCTAGGGGCTCCAGGTATTTTGTGGCCTCATCACTCCAGTCTTTGTCTCCATCTCCCATGACGTGTCCCACCTGTGTGTCTCTTGTAACAGCGATTATTACTGGACTTGGGTTCCATCAGATAATCCAGGGTGAACTCATCTTGAGAATCTTAACTAATTACATCTGCAAAACTCTTCCTAAAAAAGGTCACATTCACAGAGTCCCAAAGGACAGATCTTTCAGGAAGTCACCATTCCCCCACTGCTCTGCCCTTTTAGGCTGGTTAGACATGTAGGTCCTGTTCTTGTTGACTCAGCCTTGTTAATGTTAAATCTTACTCCAGGATTTCCCTGTCTGTTCTCCCAGATCTGCCCAGAGCCCAGCCCCTGCCCGCTGTACATGTCTGTGTCCTTTTTCCCAGTGAACACTGTCATGAGCTCAGGGTTTCAGACAGAGGATGTGTGAGAACACGGATGCAGTGTGTGTCCATTTAGAGACAAGACAGAAGCACCATTTGTCTTCTTTGTCCCATATGATCCTTTTCTGCATTTTGAAAGGAAAAAATTAAATTATACAAAAAGAAAGAAAAAAAAAAAACACATAGGCCTCTGGCCCGGTGATAAGGAGGAAATATTGTGGGTGGCAAAGTCATAAAGCTGAGAAAGCAGGAATCCTTGCAGACAGCCCTGACTCACACTCTTCAGTAAATCTGCACTAGTGCAAGTGCGCGGAGGGCAGGGCGGGCATCAGTGTGGCAGGGAACCCAGCGGTGTGGGGAAGGTGTGCTGCCCGTGCAGCTCTGACACAGGTCACAGGCACTGCGGGAGCTTCCGGAGCTCTGGGAGGAGGTTCGAGGAGGGCATCCTGGATGCTGCTCACATGGTGCTCCGGGAGAGAAAGAGTGACGCAGTGACCCAAACTGCATGTCCTTTGATACCGAGCCCACCTGGGTGACAGTTGTATCTTTCTGTTGAGCTGGTGAATACAGGTTCCCTCTGGTGGCACATCATCCACAGGCTCTCATGACGCATTTATATGAGTACTATTTAAAAACAAACATTGAGCCCTGGCTTGTGTGGCTCAGTTGGTTGAGAGTTGTCCCATGTACCCATAGGTCACTAGTTCAATTCCTGGTCTAGTTGATGTTTCTCTCTCTCCCTTTCTCTCTAAAATTGGTTAAAAAATGTTTAAAAAACACATTCAAAATGGCTTGCTTCACTTGGTAAGTGCACTGGGAACACAAAGAAATGCAATGTACACGACGTCCATTTAATGTTGAAGCACCTTGGAAATAGG